CCCCAAAACCCCAAAACCCCAAAACCCCAAAACCCCGGCATAACCAAGATTTATTGAATTTATGAAGCAATAAATGTGGCATTTGGCCTAAGAATGCTCATCAACTTTTAATTCAATCTTTCCCACCTCTAAATACACACATCAGACCAAAATTCCCAAACACCTCCTTACTACCAACAAATGCCTTCAACTCGTCTATCTTAATATTCTTTTGCTTGACCAACCTCTGTATACCTAAACTCAAAAGCTCACATCTCCTCACCTCTTCACCCTCATCCCACTTCCTAGCCCCTTGCTTACCCTCCCATTGTTCTTCCTGGTTTTCCAAATTCACATTCTCCTGGTCATCTGCAGCTTGTGTTACAAGCCTAAGAGTTTGTTCTAAGTCTTGGTTGTCTTTCTTGAGATCTTGGATTTCTGATTTTAGCCATTCTTTCTCTTCTCTTATCTGCTCAATTTCCTCATTAACTTCTTTATCTTCTCTCTTCAACTCCAAATTCTGCATTATCAAACCCTCTACATCTCTTTGCAAATTTCCTTTCGCCTGCTCCAAAGCATCCACATTCTTCTTCAACTCACTCACCTCATCACTCAAAATCCTATTCCTCAAGTGCATCGCCTCTATCTCTTCCTTCAGCTTATGTGCTTTGTTGTAAGCGAGTTTCAGTTCTGACTGGGAGAGGGACAACTTGGTTTTGGTTTTCTTTAAGTCTAATAGGGAGGATTGCAGCTATATAGATTTTTTAGGGAATTTACAGTGGATATTTCAGATTTTAAGGTAGGAATGATGAATGGAGTTGTTCCTAAAGAGTTAGGGAGAAGGTACAATTGAGGATGTTTGGAGAGGAAGAATCTGGACTGGAAAGATTTTTGATACTGTGGTTGAGTAGAGTAACTGCTAGGTCTTGGTACAGAGAGGAAGTTTTAAGGGTGTTCATGAACCTAAAGGATGAAAATTAGGTGGTTTTGATGGAGATGATATGAAGCTAATAATTACTCTCTTCATTTGTTTTCGTAGTTATTTGGATTGAAGTATGTTTTCGAATTCTGATATCCCAGAAGTTTTAGAGAGAGTATCTTCATCTTTGATAGTTACTTGAATTTCATTGCGCAATTTGTCCCATTGCTCAGATAAAGCCAAAAGTCTTTTACTAAAGTCATGAATTGGGCTGACTCAGCTTGTGTTTTGCAAATCAGAGCAAAACTCAAAGACATTCGTAATATTCATCAACTGACTCTTAAGAATAGATGAATTAGGTATCTCTAAAACCCATTACACCTTAAAAATAACTCACCTAATACTTTTTCTGAAGAATAACAAGTCGAATGCTAAAATCACAATTAAAACCCCTCAACACCAAAAAATCCCCCAATCTCCCCTAAAACCCCCTCTACCCCTAATACCCTCTCCAACCTCCAAATCTCCCTTTGGTCCCTCCAAAAACCTCACCAAATGGTCAACACAGTCAAAGCACAGCCCCTGATTTCAATTCCCTCAATAATATTTCTTCTGACTCGCTCAGCCAACACTTGAGCACTCATTTAGCCGTTCCTGAGTAATGCTAGTGTGAGAAGACATTTTATTTAAATTTTATTGGCTTGGAATGGGGTTTTGGGGTTTTGGGGTTTTGGGGTTTTGGGG